CGGCGCAGGCGGTGGTGGGCAGCACAAGCCCGGCCTCAGCTCCACGGACAGAGGCTTTCCAGTGGCTTGAACCCTTCCTCACGCTCCCCAATACCCTGTTTTGCAGACACCGACAGTGAGAACCCGGAGTGGGAGTGAAGCGCCCCAGTGCTGCGTGTCCCAGACCCGGCTCCAGACCCCTCTTTGGTTCTAGCCCCCTGCTGCCTTTCAGCCAGCACCATGGTGGGGCAGAGCCCCCCCTGTGAGAGCAGCAGCACCGTGCTCCTGGAGCCCTTCGTCCATCAGGTCGGCGGCCACATGAGCATGATGAAGTACGACGAGCACACGATCTGCAAGCCCCTGGTCTCGCAGGAGCTGAGCTTCTACGAGTCGCTGCCCTTGGCCATGAGGCAGTTCACGCCCCAGTACAAAGGTAAGGGGAGAAGGGGGCCGGCAGCATCCTCACTGGGGCTGGTCCTGACACTGGGATCGGGGGCTGGTGGTACCCGCTGGCTCGGTCTGAGCTGTGGTGGAGCCCCATCACTTGTGGAGGGCTTGCTGAGTAAGGATGCTTCCCGCATGGAAACGTGCACAGGGGCAGGTCTGTGGGACTGGGAGCGTTTCCTGGATCTCTGTGGCTTGGGGAGGATGGGAATCCCTGATGTCTAAGGGTTGTGCGCTGGGTGATGGAGATCTGCGCCCCAGCCCATCCCATCCCACTGCTGCCTTGGTCACACAGGGGACTCCTGTTATGCCAAATCGGGCTGAAATTGGTCTGTCTTTAGGGGGACAGGCGTGAAAAGGTGGGTGCTGAAAGGGTGAACATGATCCCCTCCTCTGGAGCCAAGAGCCTGGGCAGCGCAGGAGCAGGACGGAGAGGGTGTAGGGGCAGGAATAGGATGGGGTTTCCCAACAGTGTTGGCTTTGAGGATTTTGCACATCGTGGCCCCGATAGGGTGGGTGTGAGCAGCACTGGATAGGTGCAGGAAGGCAGCGACTAGGAGAGTCTTGCTCAAAACATATTCCCAGGATCTGACACATTATGTACCCTGTTCAGTAGGGCTTTAAATTAGCATCCCCTGGCTGAACCAGAGGTACAGACCACTTCATTTCCCAAACATCAGATCTAGGTGCTTGTCCTGCCACAAGTGAGACATTCCCAGGACGGGGAAGAGCCTCCTGGGCTTGATGTCCCCATCACTTCCTGGGGTCCTCTTCCAACACCTCCCCTGCCCCTGTCTCTCCTTGCCCTGCACCAATTTCCCAGCTGAATTTCTCAGCATGGTTACCGAGAAGCAGCGCTTGCTGCCTGTGCAGACGTCCTCCTCCCTCCCTGTCTTGTTCTCTCACTATTTCTGCTTTTATTGTGCTGCTCATAAAGCTCCTGACCCTGGATTTTTGTGGGAAGCTCAGCTGACACGTAAAAACTTAAAATATATCTTTTGGTCCTTCAGCGTTGCAGAAAAGAGCTCCGAGCATCAGCTGCGGTTTCGATGCGCTTCCAATTCAATCTCTCCCTTTCCCACAAAGTCTGGGGCTTTTGCAGATTTATGGGACAACATTAAAAAGATGCTTAAGAAAACAAGTCTTCCTCTAAGCAATTTTCTTTAGCAGGGGCAGGGTTCTGTGCTGCAGAGCTGGGCCCTGCTCTGTCTCTCTAACAAAGATGTTCAGCAGTCCCAGTTTACCAGTTCAGGTGGCCTGGCTATTAATACCTCTGTCTTCTTTTTCTCTTCTGCTGCAAGTCCCAGTGAGTTTTGTGACGAGGGGTAATTAAATAGCACTTTCTCTGCAATTTGGCATTGGGCACATGCTTTGTTTTCTTCTTTTCTGCTTGTAACTGTCTTGGCCTGAACACGAGGCAAAATAGAGAGGTGGTGATGGGGGCGATGAGCATCAGGAGGAACAATCCTGAGGTCTTCATCACCCGTTCACACGTGTCCATGTTCCTCATCTCTATTCTTAGGCTGCAGGGCTGGGACCATTATGTAATGCTGACATTATGTGCAGTGTTGATCAAATGTCACCATTCAAATCTAACACCAAGTCAGCTGCTTAAAGAATGTCTGCCACTTGCTTAACCGCTTCAGGCACGTTGGTGACCTTGGGACCAGCTTTTCCCCCCACCAGACCCTTCAAAGCTCTGCCTGCCCCAAGCTGAGTTTGCAGGGAGATGCTGGACTTGTTTTCAAGCCAGTTCTGCTCAGGGTCCTGCTGCATGTGGCAGTGAATAAATGCACTTGTACATTCAAAGACCAAACCAGTGTGGATAGAGCTACACAGCAACATGCTCCTGAGGGTCCTTTGGATGCCATGGGCATAGTGACAGCACCCGTAAATACCCGCTGGGCGCCTCGCTGGGGCTGGACAGGAGGAGGGCTGCGGTTCTGGTGACACTAAAAGGCCAGCAAAGACAAGTACTAAATACATCTTTCCTTCCAGATAGATGTTTTCTCATTGCAGTAAAGAGAAGGTCGGTAGCCGTGTGTTACAGGTCTGCTTTACACTCATAGGTCACTGGCAGGACATATGCAAACCCCGTATGGAAGCACACCAGGAAACTAAAGTATTTTTCAGGCTGAGATGCAGGTATTTGAAGACACACTGTTCAGCTGGAAGTAAGGAGAGGATCCCATTCCCTTGCCATTGAACTGCTCACATTTGCCTTTGAAAATCTCCCTGTTAATTTTCATATTAATGTACGATACTTCAGAACTCTTAGTTTCATGCTATATATAACGATTTTTAGGGCCAGATTGTCAGCACTATGTAAATCAGCACAGCTCCATCGACTTGCAGGTCTGTAACTGGGACAGCTGTTAAGGTTCCAGGCTGCTATCGCGCCGTAGCTGAGGCGCAGCACTAGATTTGGAATTGAGGGCTTCATTTGCCTCGCTTTGATTTAAAAGCCTTCCTCCCTTGGAAATCCAAGGCAGCCATCCGAGCTGGCAGGAATTTCGGTTGCTCTCAGTTATCTGTAATATGGATCTTTTACAAATAGGACTCGGTAGAAAGTCAGGTGGGTAAAAGGAAGACAGAGCTCCCCATACTCACCATCACCATGAGCAACGGATTGATATAGCCAAAATATGACTTACCCCCTAGTTAAGGCTTCCAGCCCCCCAGTTCTCTTGGCAGAGCAGCCTGTGGGTATTCCTCCCCCATTCCAGTGCAAAATTAGCCAGTGTAACCAAGCCTGCCGTGGCACACGTTCAGATTAATGCTGATTTTAGGGCAAAAGGGAACAGAAATGGTTATGGTACCTAAGCAGAGGGGCTGCACAGAGGGCATGAGCATCCCAATATAGGCAGAGCTGCAGGGTTATGGGGTGCAGGACCAGGCAGGGATGGGCACCCCGAGTCTAACAGCGCTGATGGCTGAAAGCAGCAGAGGGCAAACCCTTCTGTCTGTGTTTGCTTACTAGAATCTCGCTTTGAATGGGGGGAAGGGAGTTTGCATGTTTATTTGCTTCAGCAACTTAGCTCGGGAGAACAGAGCTCCTGCGTTTGCTCAGCTGCTGAAACACATCTCCCCGCAGTGCCCGGCAGAGCAAGCGAGGATACCCTGGGGACAGCTGGATAAAACCCAGCTCTATGAGTTGCTAACGGGGCTCTTTCCAGCAATGAGCTTTGCTGGTCCAACTGCCTTGACTGGCCTCTGTTGGATCAGCCTTCCTGCAGCGAGACTTGAAAGCAGCAGGGTACGACTCACGCGCTGGCATCGCCCTGAGCCCCAAAGGGCTGCTCTAAAAGTGCCTCTGCTGCCTGGAGAGGCTCAGACGGCCCTGGCAGAGGAGCAGCAGGAGCAGGGCTGCAGTTATCAGCCTTTCCCAGAAAGGTCAGAGCACTCGGTATGAGCCGTGGCCATTCCTAAAAAAAACTGAGATGTGGAGCTTTACCCGTGCCAGGGCTGGGCTAAATCTGCCGGATGGCATTTGAGCCCTGCGATTCCTGTTAGAGTCAGGGAAAACTGTGGTGTTTTAAGCACTTAGGATGGAAAGTAGTGATCCCCAGTCATGTCATGTTCCCCTCGGCATGAACGAACACCGGGCACGGAAAGGTTTGGTCCCCATCATTGGCTGTTGGGGTGCTGGTCCTTGGTGCTTGGGGAAGGACACGACCATGACAATCTATGGGCATCACGTATGCAGGCAGCGCTGCCAGCCCATGCACATGCCTCTGCCCTTGCTCCCGGAGCACTCCAATTAAAGGAAGCAGTTGGCATGATGTTTATCTTTGGAAAATTCCTTCTCCCCTACCCTCCCTTTGCTACCTGCCAACGAAAAGCATTTCCAACCTTGCCCTGTCGTAAGAAGTGAGACCTAAATCCCTTGTCATAAATAAGCCAGGAGCTCCCGGTCCAACAGGGGGTCTTTGCTGGGTCACTTGTGGCATAGCAGAGCCCGGAGGGATGGAGGACAGAAGAACATGATGTTCAGGGGAGACAGGTTTCAAGCCAAGCCTTGAGAGGAGGGAACATTAGAAAAACCTGTGGCTGTCTTCCAGGGTGTTTGTTGGGCCTCAAATCACGGTGTGAGAGGCCACTAAAACACATCCTGTTACACACCAGCCCTCTCGGGAAGGCTGGACCGCTGGCGCGGGTGCAGACGGTGGCCGAGCCTGCATGGTAACCCCTGGGTTAACCTCATTCCCGTTGGTTTTCCCCCTTTTTGCCCAGGCACCGTCTCCGTGCACCTCAAGAAGGACAGTCTCGGGAACGTGACGCTCATCGCCAGCCCCAGCCTGCCGGCGGGGACCTGCGGCCGCCTGGACAACGCCAGCGGTGAGCCTGCGGTGACGATATGGCACAAATGCAAGTGGGCTGCCAGCGCCGGCGCGGGCGGCGAGCACGGCTTCGGCACTTGGAGCCACACACAGGTCACCAAGAGCTTCAAAGACAGGTGAGGGTCTGACGTGGCTGGGATGCTCCCTGCAAACCTCCTCTGGTCCTTGCCTGGGGTGGTTTTGGTGGCACAACTCCTGCTTGAAGGCAAAGTGAGCAAAGAGCGATGCCCAGCCAAGGTGAAGAAAAGCAAAGTGGCTTCATGGTTCCTCTCTCCCCTGCTTGTGGATGGAGCAGGGCAGATGTGGCTATTGCTGAGATGCTGTTGCTCAAATATGCACCTCAAACTCTGCTTTAAACCTGTTTCCTTGGAGCACAGTATGCTCCAAAAGGAGGAGAGGCCCCAGGAGAAGAGCCACCAAGCGCACAGCACGTAACACCCTTCTGCTGGTAACAGCCACACAACATCTGCACACTCAAGGATGGTCTGGTCCTGCCCTCATCGCAGGGGACAGCTGTCTCTGAAAGGCAGCATGGTGCCTGCAGGCATGCTGCTTGCACAGACTTTCTGCAAGACATCCTTCATCCCAAACAGGTTCAGAAAGTACCTGGGTCAGCTGTGTCTGAAGGGTGCAATATCGCTACTGCCCTCAGTGTGATGGGTTTTGGATGATGAGACTAAGGAACGACCTGCCCAGGGAGAACAAATCTCCTCATTGCTCCCTCCCTGCCCTTCTCAAAGCCAGCCCCTCTAAACTGGGAATCATTCCTAGTGTGGGACACGTTGCCTGTGTAGTGCCCATTAGGCAGGCAAATAGAGATCCCTGGTGATCGGTGCTGTGCGTGGTGCTGTTCACAGGAGCCAAGCACACTTTGAATTATAATGAAAGAAAATACTGGCACCCAGCAATAGCTGGATGTCTGAAAATTACTTTGATGGAGTAACAAAGGATCTCTACAGCTTGGACATGATCAATGTGTTTCCTTTGAGAGTCCCTGAAAATTCACCTTATCGAGTTTGACACTCTACAAAAGAGGAAGGGAGGAAATATTCCCTTCTGGAGCTTACAAACCCAATGTGTTCTTTTGTGTCTTTTGTCTAGCTGCCCAGGGAAGAGGCTATTGAGGCCAGACCTTCAGTACCGCACAGATTCGCTTTTGGAAGATGCAAATGGAAACCAGCCAGAAAGAGCGAGCTACAACCCCTGGGGACTGCACTGTCACCAGCAGCACCTGAACCGCATGTCCTCCAAGCACAACGAGAACAAACTGCATCGTATCCTTTTTCCTCTCTCCAGCATGGTCTTGGCAACAAGAGTATGTTTTATCAGGAGTGTGCATCCCTCCTCGGCCCAGTCTCTGGGAAAATACAGAATATAGTTGCTGGAAGTTGCTGTAAGTAAAAAACAACCCACTTCCCATGAAGGGTATTCAGCATAAGTGAAGGATCCCCTTGGCGTACATTTAAAAACACAACTATATAAGAATTAGCAGCTGCCTCACCTTTTATTTTCCTATTACACTTCATTACCCACCAGTCATGTGAGTAATGGAGTTTAACAACTCCCCCCACACCCACAGGAGTGAGCACAGCACTGAGGCAAGGTGTCAGATTGACAGCCCAGGGCTATCGTGTCACTGGAGAATGGAGCTGTTGGTGCTTTAATTGGCAGGACTGTACTACAGTAAATTAACTAAAATTGGCAGCAAGGGGCCTATAGCAATGACATGTTGGTAAAATTGGCTCAGGAAGTCTCATTACAGTTGTGAGCTATTATGGAGAGCATCAGCAGTCGCTCTGATATAAAACCTCTTTCAATTAGAATTTAAAAGTATTTGGTTTCCCTTAACTCATGCTCAGAGTTTCTATTGCTTGAAAATGTGGTATCAAAATACAACTATCCCTGCATCCTGGACTTAAAGATGGGAACGCGGCAGCACGGCGATGATGCCTCAGAGGAGAAGAAAGCCCGGCACATCAAGAAGTGTGAACAAAGCACCTCTGCATCTCTGGGTGTTCGCATCTGTGGGATGCAGGTAAGACCTGGGGCCTTTTGGTGTTTGCCTGACGCACGGCTTGAAACCAAGCTGGGAACCTAAAGGGACTCTTTGTTGGTGTAAAGTGAAGCAGTTTAATTCTTGTCTTACACCAGACAGGGGCTGTGAGAACTGGCCACTTGCTGTGTGTCCTGTCCTCAAACAGGAGGGGATGCTTAGGGAAGAGAACAGAATATGGCACACGCAGGGCAACCCTTTCCCCATTCCCCTCTGGCTTCTGGAGACTTCACAAGCAGTAGATGGATAAGCACCACCCCACACCACTGCCACCAGTACGAGCACCTGGAACCAGTTTACCCCAGCTGAGAATCTGCCCGTACGTGAACAGATTCCCCTCTCGTGCTCTTCTCTTGGCTGCTGCACAAAGAACAAAACCAAAAGAGCATCCCATTGCCCTGCTCCTGCCTTGGCAGAGCTGCCTCCTGCTGCTGCAAGAGCCAAGGTTTATTTTGTGCTAAATGTTGCGGTTCCCCGTGCTCAGAATCACCACCCTGCCTCTAGAAACCCAAACCACGCATTTGTTTCACTCGTGCTTCTCAAGCAGGTTTCAAAGCACTGTTCTGCTGTGCCTGAAGGGTAATTACGAGGATGGTGATTATAAAGTACATACACAGCAGGGTAAACAGTCGGTGTCAAAACCCGTGTCCCTTTCTGGTCTGTGACATGCTTCTCTCGAGCAGATTATCCTTCAAATTACAACTGGCGTGTGAACTCGTTGTGTATTCACTGCCTCGCTTCTCACTCAGTGTTGCCAGAGCCCCACATACAAATTTCTGCCTACATCTTGTCTCTCTGTGTTTAAGAAAGCAAGATTATTGCTACCCGGGCATTACATACTGTGGAAGGTACAAAGCTGGAGTATCCCTGCACTGCTGCAAACTCCTACCACAGCCAGAGGGAAATGCTATAAATCACTAGTGACACAGCTCTGATTTAGAGCTATTTGGGTTTCACAAAAGGGTAATTTATAGCTGTGCAACAAGAATCTGCACTAGTGGTTTAAATGGAATAGTTTAAATCTCCAGAAAAGACAGGAGGTGGGATTCAGCAAGGAGCCTGCGGGTACATTGCCAGCATCACTACATACAGCCAGGCTGCAGAGCAGCTACGTCCCGTTCCTCTGCTTGGGGCTGAGCTGTTTAGATATGGACACGATCTAGAGCTTTGGGAAAACTGAACAACTCAATCCAGACTGTTGCTCTCTTTCCTCAAGGTTTACCAAGCAGACACTGGCCATTTTCTCTGCAAAGACAAGTATTATGGGAGGAAACTCTCACCGGAGGGATTCAGGCAAACCCTGCGCCAGTTCCTGTGCAACGGCAACCACCTGCGGATGGATCTCCTGGAGCCCATCATCCTGCGGCTGAAAGCTCTGCTCTCTGTTATCAGGAAGCAAAGCTCTTACAGGTTCTACTCCAGCTCACTTCTCATCATTTACGACGGGCAGGAGCCCAAGGAGAACACGGCACCCTTGGATAATCACCTTCACTTCCAAAAAACAAACTGCACCACCTCACACAGCACTCATCACTCCAGAGTCGACGTCCGGATGATAGACTTTGCCCACACCACGTTTAAAGGCTCCAAGTGCAATCACACCACTTATGATGGGCCAGACCATGGCTATATTTTTGGCTTGGAGAATCTCATCAAAATCCTTCAGAATATCTCAGAAGGAAAATGAGAAATTCCTCTGTGAAATAGCCTGGATTGACTAGTGATCGATAGCCCTGAGAAGTTCTGCGTTGGGTCAGTTGTACGGGACCCTCACTGCTGCTGGACCTCATGTGCACGTTTGGAATGAGGGCATGGACAGCTTGCTAGGAAAGTGCAAAAAGCTCTAGGTGCCATGAATGAACTGAAGCGTAAAAAGCAAAGAGCTGAAAGAATGTTCTGCCTGCAATCAATCAGAAGATTTATTTTCCCTTCTTGTTTTACTGCTGTCCTTGATTTATTTGTGAGCCAAAAGAAAGCACTACTTGAAAGAGTCTTAATGATAAAATAGGACCTGCTCACCTCTACACTCAGGAAGCCAAACAGGCTGAGGACATACTGTGGGCTCGAGTGAGACTATTAGAATGAGCTGGTGGGTCTGAGCAGGTTGCAGCATCACCTCTAACGCCTGCTCAACACACACGGGAAAGGAAAACAGCCCTCAGCACTCACACTGCATGTTCCCAGCGCTGCAAGGCCAGCGGGTGCTCTCCCAACAGCCCGGGGGCTCAAACGCAGACCTACGAGACGCTGCAGAGGTTCTGAGCTGGGGACCTCAACCAAGAACTGGACCTCGCAAAGGTTTAATATCCCTGTGGGATTCTATCAGGGCATGTTTCAGGAACCTTCTAAGCAAGGGGCTCCATCGGGGCTGGAATGTGATGATTCTGTCAGTGATTAGTCACAAAAAACATTCACATCAAGGTATTTTTGCTATAAAAAAGTGAAAAAAATAGTGTGAGATTGAGTCAGGGACTAAACCTTAAAGGTCACCTAGAAATTCTTTGGTACATATATTGTGTGTGTATTTAAAGGAGACAACAGCAAGACTGAAAATCATGTTTACAGCTTTTGCGGACAGATTTTATTATGACGGAACAAACAGAATTCCTTCCTGCGTGGTGTGGGAGACCTGGAAGAGAAATCCTTACACAAGGAACCCCGTTACTGGGGAGTGGGGATATAAGTAAATCATGAATAAAATCGTCAAAGCAACTCCCACCCGTTGTCCATCTCTCTTGCACTTCCACAGCATCCTTAAGTTACTTGATGTGTGTTTTAGGGCTGCATGTCTTGAGCAGTTATCTCCACAGGTTTAAACAGCAGAGCTCAAGGGACACCCCTTCACTTGTATTTTACTGCATACAGCTGGTGAATTGCTACAGTTTATAGCTGGAAAGTTGATGTCATTTGGCCCCCTTGTGCGTTTTAGTTGGCCTAAAGTCCATTTGGGAAGACCTTGTTATTTATTGCATGTTGTTCACAGCGTTGCCTGTTTCTTGCTCACGAACTCAGACGACTGTAATAAACCCCCACGAACACTCACCTTCGGCAGTGAAAGGGTTGAGTTGTCCATGTCCTGGCCCACAGGGGAGCCTGTGATCAGTGCTGACTGTGGCTGCTTGTAGCTTTGCTGGTGAGGTTTATACAGACCCACCTCAGCACCTGCAGGCTCTGAGCCTCTTGCTCAGAGGGACATCAACTCTGGGAGCGGGGAAGGATGACGGAGGCTCCAAGCATGACACCGGCAGCCAGCGCTGCTTGTCAGCGGAGCAAAACCCCTGCTTTGACTCGTGAAAACAGCGACTGAGGTAGGACAAGGGGTAACGAGTGAAAACTTACACTGAGTTTCAGGTTGGATATAAGGAAGCAGCTCTTCCCTGGGAGGGTGCTGAGGCGCTGGCACAGGGTGCCCAGAGAAGCTGTGGCTGCCCCATCCCTGGCAGTGTTCAAGGCCAGGTTGGACACAGGGGCTTGGAGCAACCTGCTCTAGTGGAAGGTGTCCCTGCCCGTGGCAGGGGGTTGGAGCTGGAGGAGCTTTAAGCTCCCTTCAACCCAAACCAGGCTGGATTCTCTCTGTTGCTCCAGCACCACAGAAATCATCCCGCTCCCTCCCTTTTTACTCCTTACACATCAGCACCCAATTACCAAGTACTCCACCATTTGCCTGCCAGAGGAGGGGCTCTGAGCCCGTGCACGACCCGACTGTACGTGGGGTGCAGGAAAACCGGGCAGGCTTTAACAAGGCGTTAGACCCGCCAGACCCCAATCCCTGCGGGACCGAGGTCCCTGCGCAGCGAAGCGGACAC